CCCCAAAACCCCAAAACCCCAAAACCCCGAAAGAAGTGATTTATTCAAAATTTGAAGTTTCAAGTTTTAATAATAAAATTCAATTCTTATAAATACTTTAATTTATATCTCGGTCAATTAGTCTTTACATTAAGAAAAACTACTATGCAGGTTATATCATCAATAACCTCATCCTCCTTTTTCCAATGCGCAACTGATTCTTTCACAAGTTTATCACAAGCTCCTTCGGGGTTATTTTGTAACCAAAAAGGTACAACCATATTTACAACCTCCTCGTTTTTAATGAATTCCCATACTCCATCTGAAGCAATCACTATGAATTTATCATCTTCATTCAAGTCAACTTCAATAAACTCTATAATAAAAGATTAAAGATATATTGATTTATTACCTGGCTCTGGGCTCACACCAACTGATGAGGCGACAAAGTCTCCAATAGATCTGCTCATAGCAAGACCTGGAACATTCTCATGCTTAAGCCAAACTCTAGCTGGACCTATAGGATCACCATTTGGCTCTCTGAAGGTGTCGACTCTTCCATTGCAGGCAAGAATACGTTCTTTCTCATCTTTAGCATCAGGCTTATGATCTCTGGATAATGCTTAAGCTACCCATATCTTATTAGGTTCATGATTGCTTGACTAAGCTATGCTTTCTGTGTGTTTAAGAGAAATGCTTTTAGATTTCAAGCTTCCAAGGATTGCTCTTGAATCACCCACATTAGCACAAATAAGTTTCTAGCCTGATATCATAACTGAGACTACAGTCGATCCAGAATAGTTGCAATCAAAACTTCTTCTTCTAATATCAAAGCTTGTTTTCAAAAATCCCTCAGTGAGTATTGCAAGGCGTTTCATCTTGTCTTGACTCATTAGGTAAGACTAACTTTCAAAGTTAAAGTTTTATGAATCATGGCTATTTTCATCGATGTTATGTTCTTCATTTTTGGAATTATTAGGTGACTAGCCTCGAGATTAACTCTGATTTTTAGAGGCCAAACCCATGGCTTTGCCTGACTTTTATTGAGGAGTTCTATTTGATGCGATCATAGGTGTTATCTTGTTTTTAACAGCCATGTAGTCTATGAATTCAATATTTTGAGGCAGGAATTTCTTGACATGGTCGCTAGCAAAGTGCCCATTAATACCATGACCATCGCAGACACCAAAAAACCAATTATTCCTTATTGAAGCGAAATTTTTAACTATAAAGTAAGAATCTTGATTCGTTTTAGATGGCTTATTTGGGATATAGCCTCCTCTAGACTTAAAAGCATACTTTAGGATTGGATCTTATAAGCCTAGATCCTGAATTTATTGATTGTTGTCATTCATACCAAACGCTTGGGGAGAACTTATTATCTATCCACTTCTTAATGATCTTGAATTAGAGTCATTTCTTCTTAATGAGCCTGTTGAACCTTGATTCCCTTAAGATCTCATGGCTTTAACTGGTCCCATATTTTACGGTTGCATTACTATCTGCTACTATTATTTTTATTGCTGATATGACTAAGGAATTTACTATTGCATTTACTAGGACATGGCATTCATATTTATAATATTGCTAACCTAGTCAGAGTTATTCTGGGTGAGAGAATTTTAATTGTTGCTTCCTTTGAATGATTTTTTAGTAGGATTGAAAAGATGAGCCTGATTATTTTTATAAGCAACACCACCAGAGGGTTTCTATTAAGGCACTCCTTTACTTCCTGCTGAATTGTAATTCTGGAGTAGATTTATCTATTGAACACTGGAACTGAATAGATTTTAATCCTAAATTATTTCAACTGGAGGCTAATTTGGATTATATTTTTTGATATTATAGTTAGACTGTTATTGAGCTTAGTTTGCCAGTTAAATTTATGCTTAAGAGCCTATATTTTAGATAAATGATCTTGGCTACTGTTAATTAGCTATGTCATTTTAAAACTAGTTTTAAGATTAGGCCCAAATCTATGAATTTCCCCCGATCGGGACATTCTAATTTCCTGACTTGATATTTCTTCGCTAGCTATTACTCTTATTAACGGAGTCATTTGGGACTACTCCAGGTGATCTCCCCGCCTTACTGTTAGACTGCTTGGATCCTGACTTGAAATCTGGTAATTAATTTTAGTATTCAAGCAACTCAACATCTGATTCTTCATGGTCAATTATTAAACCATTTATCTTTTATTTCTTTTATCGTGGAGCTGGCCCCTCTGGCTGAATTTGCTACCTTCCTATTTAATACTGCTATATCATATTTTAAGCTGAAAGACCAAATTAATTTTCCCTTGAATTGTTGAACACTCTATTGTTTTTGCTATTATTGACCTAGATATTGTGATTTATGATGTTGATATTTATATTGTTTTATAGTTTAGCACTGCTATTAATGTTAATATTGACATTTGGGACTGGAACCAATCCTCCTCTAATTTATGGTGTTTTTATAGTATCTTATCTTTCCCCTTAGTTGAAATTTTGAAATGCATTATTCTCTATCGCACTTCTCTGGTTCCTATAGTGACCTGTTGTGCCTACTGCAGGTGTAGAAGTTCCGTGAGTATCCTTAGGTTGTTTCAATTTACTCTCAGACTATGAATTAAGTAGCTTAGAAGATTACTTGACTTGATTCCCGTAGAACTATGGAGTCATAGCTGGATTCTACTGTTATTAGTTGAAGCTGTTTCTCAGATTTGGATTGCCTATTACGTTTTGTTGCTATTAAGCTGCCAAATTTCTCATTGAATTCGATCCTTTCATCATTTATGCTTGATTTTATATCATGGGACTTCCCATTCCTTGATTGAAACCCCCCATTTTGCTATTAGACTTTTTCATATAGCTTGACTAAGCGATAGATATGCCATTTCCATTCATTGAAAAATCTGGGCCAGGGGGTAATTAGTCATCGACACCTCCCTAGAAAGCAGTAATCCTATCAGGCGAGAAACCTACAGGCGTTCTAAAATTAGCTTAGCCTCTGTTGAAAGTGCCGGCAGGGTTGAATTACTCACTTGGATCTCTTCTGTTGCTCTACTTGGTAGTCTTCTTCCCATTTAGATTTAAGCTTATAGCCTACTCATCACTCATGTTGAAATTGTTATTTAGCTTTTTATCGATGCTTTAAGCATTTTTCAAATTTTGAGAAAGATGACTATTTATATTCATACCAGCACCTATAATTTAGTCTTATTTCCTCTGAGTGGCTTTGGAATTCTTACCTAGGTTTGGCACGGACTAACTCTAGGACATTAGATTATGCCCTGAAGGGTAATTTGACTTGCTTTAAAGCCCCTGCTTCCTTATCTAAGGATGATTATTTCCTATGTTGTTGGCACTGCTGCTGCTGTTAGCTGCTTACATTTTAAGATTAATGATTTGAAGTTATAATTCAATGTAATCGTAGATTTTAATTATATAATATTTATCCCTAATTTCATGCACTGTCACTATATTTACATTATAAGTTTAATGAAAGAAACTTAATTTGTAATATTAATCTCTTAGTCTTAATAAATTTTAAAATAATAAACAAAAATGTTTCACCTGCTTAATCATCCGGACACAAAGTAAAAGGTTATTGAAAAGAGAGAGAAAAAACAGAGGAAAATTGAGATGAAAGGGAGAGAGGCTCAATAAAATTAAGATAATGTAAGCTTTAAGATATGTTTATTGATGTAGTCAGAGTAAATTATGGCTGAGGAAGATAGTTTAAATCAGATGCAACAAATTTCTAATTAAGCACCTTCGCAAAACATAAATATGCTTGATCAAACATTCGGAAATTAAATGGGTTTTGGTAGTAAACAAAATATAAGGAATGACCCACAACCTGCTCTCGGAGGTATGTCTTATAATTTCTAATATTGACCAATTCTTTAGGCAACTTGAATTAAGTTCTTCTAAATTAATCAATTGGATAGAGTAACATTTTACAGCCTAACTAAAATCCTAATATGAGTATTATCTGTGATAACATTGATGAAATTAAGCAAAAAATGAAAGAAATTCAAGATTATAACTTAGAATACTTCAAAAGATAGAGAACTTGCAGACAAAATTTAGAACAAAAGCTGGGGGAAAGTTTGAAAAAGTATCTAGAAGAGAGTCAAAACTAGAATCTTTACAACGATCTGATAGGACTTGGAAGAAGAAAGTGGAGAGCTTATGATTCTTTTTACAACAACTAAAGTAACAGAAGAATGGATGATTCTAGGATTAGCTAACAAAATCAAGATGACCAGCCCATGGAGTACTAGTATCAAGTACCCTAAATAGATCAAAGCAGTGTTATAGTTGAGTAAAGAGGTAGAGGCTAAGGAATTAAATTTAATGAAAGCATTAATAGAGAGGGCGCAGAGTAACAGTAAAATAGAGGCAGCCAGAGAAATGAAGATTCAAAGGCAGACTGGAGTAATCTCAATTTCTCACTAGATTAGAGAGAGAATCAAAATGAATCTGGCTATAAAAAACCTAACAGAGGAGACTATCGAGGAGGTAGAGGTGGTAGAGGTCAGCTTAGAGGAGGGAATAGCAATAATAACTATGAAAGACAAGAGGAAACTAGAGAATATAGAGGAGACAATAGAGGTCGTGCCAGAGGGAATCAGAGAGGAGGATATAGAGGTGGCGATAGAAATGGTAGATGATAATCCTAAAAGTTATAATGAAGTAATTATTCAACTCTTTGATAGAAAAATAATTTATTAATAAGATTAATCAAAATCTTCAAATTCTCTGCATTTCAGGGGTTTTGGGGTTTTGGGGTTTTGGGGTTTTGGGG